AAAAATTATAATTTAAAAACTTAAATTATGGTAAATGTTAAAAAAAAAATTCAGGGTAAAAATTATAATTTAAAAATGTTAATTTGAAATTTTACTGTGTTAATTTGAAATTTATTATTAAAAAACGTTTAATAGCTAAATTTTCATGTGTAAAGGTACATCGAGCTGTTTGTATGTTATCAAATACGACTGCAATTGCTGAAGCATGGGCTCGTTTGGATCATAAATTTGATTTGATGTATTCGAAACGTGCATTTGTACATTGGTACGTTGGTGAAGGTATGGAAGAAGGTGAATTTACAGAAGCACGAGAAGATTTAGCTGCATTAGAAAGAGATTATGATGAGGTAAAAAGGAACAAAAAATTTTTTTAAAAGAATGCTATATTTAATTCAATCATTTATAATTTACACCAATTTTTTCACAAATACACAAAAAATTACTTAAAATAATACTAATTTAGTTTAATCATTGATAATTAACAGATTTTTTTCACAGAAAAAACAAAACAAAACAAAACAAGGAATTATAATTTTTAAAAAAATGAAAACAAATATATTATTAGCTAATCATAAAAGTGATTAATGAATAAATCAATTTGATACATTTCTATTGATAGTAATGATATATTCAGCAGCAGCAAAAAAAAAAAACCATCATAATGGACAATTTTCCAAATTATTTCATCTTATCTATTAATTTATTGAAGATATAACAAGTATTGAATTTTGAAAATTGTGAAATATTTTCAAATAACATTTTTATATATTCAATAGTAGCGGAAATTTGATTTATAGGTTAGCAAAGATTCGGCAACGCTTAGTGATGACGAAGAAGAAGGAAATGAATATTGAAAATTTTCACAAACAAATAAATTTTTTTATTCTTTGCAAATTTTTCTATCAAAATTACGATGCGCAGAAAGAGATAAAATTAACGATTGTTTTAAAATATTTAAAAATTTTTTCAATGCATTGCATTTATTCGTAAAATTAATTAATTTAAAAATTCCTCATTACACATTTAAATTCCTATTACTATTTTTGTTCTTTCGCAAACAGTAATATGTTGATTAAAAAGTTGTACAGGATTTTAAATTACCAAATGAATTAAATTAACTTTTTATTAAATATGCTATTTTTGTTTTTTTCCAATTGCTTACTGTTTATCAACAATAATTTGTCAATGTTTTTAGTTAAACAATATTCAATGCAGATGTTATTTGCATTATAATTGAAACAACATTAAATCATTCATTAGATATTGTATATCAATTTATGATGATCATTACTCAATTTATTTGAATAAAAAGTTGTATAATTTGGTTAAATTTGCGTTTACTAATTATCATATTTCATTGAATAGTTTTACATAATGAAAGGGCAGTGTAATCAAAATTTAATTTATTTTTAAAGAGAAAAAAATTTTAATTCATTCGTTTTTTTATTTCCACTCTTTGAGATGTACAAGCAGATAGCAACAAAAAAAAAGGCTATCTCTTTTTTTTTTTGCATTTGACAGAAAAAACCTTAAGGTCATAATAAAGGTCATAAAAGTAGTGAAGAAAAGAAACAAACGAGTAAAGGAAAAAAAAAGCAATGATAGCGGAAGAGTCAACAATCATTGCAATCTTGATAAAAAATGTAAAGGTCATGAAGAAGGTCATAAAAATGAAGACAGAAGAGAATGATGAATGAATTGTAGTCATGTAATGGAAAAGATGTTAATATTGATAAAATAAATTGATTAATGATAAAAATTGATAATTAAGTTTCAGAATAATTTATGAACAAATAAAAAAAAAATATTATCAATTTTGATGTGAGGAAAAAAATTCTGATATTTTAAATTGGTAAATATTTTGACCATTTTAACTCGGAAAATATTTCGGTTCATTACGTATTTATTAATTTATGATGTTCTTCTTCTTTCCGGAAGCAAAAAACGGAGCGGAAAAATGAATGAAAGCGGATTCAACAATTTAATTTAAAATAATATGCAAATAATTTTAAGGGAATAAATAAATTTGAAATATTTGAAAAAAGTGAATGAATGTAAAACATTACCATGCTAATAATTTGATTACAATATGAATTCTTTATTTCCACTCTTCAATTTTTACAATTAAAATTATCAAATATCAAATTTGCTATAATCATGTATCATTGAACGAAAGTGTATCGCATTAATCACCAACTAATATTGATGTAAATTTATTAACAGCAAATTTTAATTGAAATATAAAAACAAGCGGCGTAATTAAAATTAAAATATTTAAAATATTTAATAGCCAAATACTTTTATCCTTGTGATTGTAAAATCCAAGACTCGATGACCACGATAATTTAAATTACCAAATGATAAGGCTTCATCACTATACCAATAAAAAGATTGATTCTAAAATAAAATAAAAATATTTGATTACGAATCATCAAGTAGTAAGTAATATTTGGTATAATTAATGATTTGGATATGTTTTAAAAATTTTTAAATCAATTTAAAATATTTGTTAGCTTATGATTAAAGAAATAACGAGAAATAACTATAATTGATTCATTGCTAAGTAAAGAGAAAATAGGAAAAAATTTATTTGCTCAATGAACAAATATAATTCATAAATAAGAATTTTTTAAAAATTACCGAAAAAATGCTTGGCACTTAATTAATTTACTAACTAAAAAAATGCAAGAAAAGGCACACAAAAAAAAAATGCTCAATTAATTGATTAATTGGGAAAGTAAACGAGGAAGAAAAATGTGGTACCGTATTTCCTGAAAATTCCAATTTACTGCCTTCAATTAATTCCTGTAAGCCAGTTGGAATAAATAAATGTTTTCCTTCCTATAATATGTTAAAGCCTTATTTTTAAGCATTTTTTTTCCAAGGCATTTATATGTTGAATTGATAAGAATTGATAAGAGCCTTATCAGTGGGATTACTAAGTTGCATGTTCATTAAGCGCTGACACTACAAATGGGTCAATAAATTTATTAAACCTCCTTCCTAAATCAATAATACTAATAATAATGCAAAATATAATACCTTATCAATTAGATCAATAAATTATGCATTCATTAAACTGCCTTTCTAAAACAATGATATTTTAAATTGATAATAGTATGATGTACTGCGATATGTACAGAAATGCATGATAACCTTATCAATTGGATCAATAAGTTGTACATTCATTAAACTGCCACACTGTACCAGTGCTCGTTCTGTAGCACGAGGTGATAACCAACCAAAACATTTATCATTCGTCATATCTTCCAAAGCTTTTCGAGAAAAAACAATGCCAGCTTCAGGTAAAATTGTTTTGTAAATATTCCATGGGAATAAGTATGAAAGTAAATTTCTGGAAAAAAAACGAAATTAAGGTTAATTTTAATTTTTGTTTTGAAAATAATACAAGAAATAAGCATTGACAATTTATGGTGACAATAAAACATAATTAATGACACATAATTGACAGTAATTGATAGTGATAATGCATGATTGTATTACGAATAATTATGGTAGTGATGAATTATTTAGCAACGAATCTAATAAATTACAGCTAATTAATTGATAATAACAATAATGTTGAAAGCTGATAAATTTGCAACTGTGATAGCACTAGGGAGTTATAAATATGCTAATCAATTTATTAGTTATTGATATTTAATAATCATATTCCTTATAATCAACATATTGTTATGTTTAAGCATAAAAGTAGTGATAATTAGTGATAACAGCAATCATCAATAGTGATAAAAATATTCAAAAACAAGTGCATTACTTTAATTCATAAAAGAAAACGAGGGGAAGTAAGAGAGAAAGAGAGAGAGAGAGAGAGAGAGAGGAAGAGAAAGAGGTAAATGAATGAATTTATTAATTGATCACAAAATAAACATTCAACAAATTAGAGTAACATGGATTGAAAGAAAAATTAAAATTCTTTAAAATAGTAACAAAAAAACAGAATGATGCTGTTGCCATTGCGTATTAATGTCAGCGATTGAAAATAATTTTAAAATTGAAATCTATCAAAAAAAAAAAAAAAACATAAATAAAAGTTCAAACTCATAAACGATTTTCAAAATAACAAGAATCAGGATCAAAAAAAAAAAAGATAATATCACTGTATTCGATTTTTATTTTCACATTCATCGCAAAATTATCGTTTTGAGAGTTCGCAGAAAAAAAAAAAAACTTTTTATCTTTTTTTTTTCAAATATAGTACGAAAAAGATTGATGGTAAACTTTTAGATGTGCAAATATGACGAATAATCTGTAAATTTTCCTTTCTTCTTTTTGTTCCATTTCATTTTTTTAAAAGTATGCGTTTTTTTTGAAACAAAATTAATTATTTTTTTTTTTGAAACAAAATTAACAAACCTTTTGCTGAATGTCCTCCCTAATATGAGAGATTGTTGTGAATCACCGAATGTTAGCAATATTTTTCGTAAATTTCCCATAACAATAAATGTTTGCTCATCACTGATAATTGTCCAACTTGAATTTTGTTGTTTGCCATATTTTGTGGAATATTTGATAATTTCACGATATAAATCCCAATGATATTGCGTTTTCATCGTGTTTACAAATGCAATATTATATTTTTCTACAATATTATTGGAATTATATAAATTCAAAACAAATAAAAAAAGATTAACAAAAGAGACGAATGAATTTTTTTAATTGATATAATAAAACAATTTTTAGTACCTAATTTATTTCTCTACTTTAATAAACCTCAAATTCATGCACCAAAACTTTAATTATACGCATATTATGATTTTGTTTGATCATAAATAATTCAAGCAAT